ATATGGCGAGTATATCCCAAACTCTATATTTTAACTGAAAAAGTTGGGATGTCTTATACGCCCAGTCGTTTTATACGTTGGAAAATATAGTAACTAAAAGAAAGTTCATAACTTGTTGAGGCTTGATTCAACCCCACCAAGGAACATCTAGAGCATGGATAAGTAACCATGTGCTGTTTTTATGTTTTGGACTACAATTCTGATCAGCCCCAATTTGCATGCCCAGTGGTTGTGAATTATGGAAATTGCAGTCTTTTCCTTTGAAGAATCTGAGCATTGAGATCCTATGAAACAGTAACTGTTCCCTGGATTATTATGATTATCTAGTATGACTAATGATGACAATACTGTGTTATTTTACATGAAGTGTCATTCTTTCCGGCAGTGACGAGATGTTTGTAGTGTGTAGGTGTGGCTGTTGGCTTGTAAATAGGTGGCATAGTTCCATCAAACCCTGTTTTATTTGCATTCATCTGTGTCTAAGGGTTTGTCAGTATTGCCTGCCTTTGTGTATCTGTTATAGAAAGTATGTGAAGTGTTAAAAGGAAGGAAATATTTTACATTTTTTGTGCATTGATTGACACAGTACCTCAGTCAAAGTGAATTATTCCTGCAGTGCGGATGCAGCCTAGGATATATGGGCAGAAAAGCATGATGACAACAATTGAGGGTGTGTGTTATAGGTGACCCCGAAAAGCCTAATGTAGATTTCCTTCTGCTTTTGAAACACAAGATTATCATATACAACAAGAAATGTAACACTGTTGAAGATCACTGTGTGGTTTGTGGCTTGTTAATTGTGCTTGTAAGATCATGCACTTTGGTCACAGGATAAAGCAAGGCCTGGTATTTGGTGGAAAAACTGAGTCAACATGCTTCATGTGTCCAGCTCCAGTTACTATATAGATTAAATTATTTGCATGACCAAATCACACAAGCAGAATGCAAGGTCACCTTTGGTATTTCAGATGTCAATACATACATTTTATACGTACATTATTTCTATAGTTGTAAAGAGTGCAAACTTATAGGTATGACAGAAACTTTTCTTAAAGAGTATATTCCTGTTCTTTGCATAAGAAAAACAAATTTGGTAAGAATTTAATTTCTTCTGCCAAAATATAAGCTTTCTGGAAGACAAGAAAAAAATCTACCTGAATACTGCAGAGCCAGAATATTCCCTGTATTCATTTCTTACTATTACAGTTATTCTAGAAGCAGATGCTAGGCATAGTACTGTTTTTGACCCCAAATCTATTGATTTCTTATTTTATTATTTAATTTATAACACCACCCTTTCTTCTGCCATGAGACCCAAAGAGGCTTGCAATGATTTAAAATAGAAGCTTAGGTAAAATAAAAAGGTAAAGGTAAAGGTATTCCCCATTGACAAGGTTGTCAAGTTGTGTCTGACCATAGGAGGCGGTGCTCATCTCCTTTACTAAGTCAAAGAGCCAGCACTGTCAGAGACTACTCTGTGATCATGTGGCCAGCATGATTGCACAGAAAGCTGTTTACCTTCCCATTGAAGTGGTACCTATTTATCTACTTGCATTTACATGCTTTCGAATTGCAGAAGCTGGGACTAGTGACAGGAGTTCACCCCATCATGCAACACTTGGGCCTGGAACTGCCAACCTGCTGGTCTTGCAGTCAACAGAGTCAGTGTCTTAACCACTTGAGCCACTGCATCCCTTAGGTAAAATATTATACTACAAAAGTTACAAAACAATGAAACAACAGTACTATTAAAAGCAGATAGTTGGAAATATTTTAAAATACATCTAAAATGAACTCTACCTATTTAGATAATTGCCCCCGAGTTGACCTTGATTCACGAACCTGTGGATGAGACAGCGCCAAGACCCCCTTTCCTCAACCACTCTGCTTAGCACCTGAAGGTTAAGGCCCATGTGATCTTCCTCTCTTTCTGTTGCCTTCTACTCTTCCTAGCATTATTGTCTTTTCTAAAGTCTCATGCCTTCTCATGATGTGGCCAAAGTATGACAGCCTCAGTTTAGCTCAGCGCTATTGACTTTATCTGAAAGTAGTGTTCACAAGGCTGCCAGCAGGTAGCTGTCCAGCCTTTTTTAAAAAAAGAAAGAAATCCAGAGGAGACCCTGCCACCTCTCTAAGTATTATTTCTATTGATGAACTGCTCTTACTGTCAAGAAGTTCCTTTTAATGTTCAATCTAAATCTCCTTTCCTGGAACTTAAAACCATTAGACCTGGTCCTACCCACTGGGGCAGCAGAGAACAAGCCTGTCCTGTCCTCTCTGTGAAAGCCATTGAGGTATTTAAAGAGTGCCATCATATCACCCTTCCATCTTCTCTTTACCAAGCTGAACATGTCCAGCTCCTTCAACATTTCCACATAGGTTTTGTTTTCTATCATCTTTGTTGCCTTTTTCCAAACCTGCTACATCTTGTCTATATACATACTTAAAATGGGGTGCCCAGAACTGAATACAGTACTCCAGATGAGGTCTGATAGTGTGCAGCAACTGTTATAGTTGTCGAGATGAAGACCTTGTTGTGAGAGTGTGGCTGATGTTCATGTCTAAAGAAAGAGGGACTGGAAACTGTTTGCAGATGTAGCACTTTTTCATGTTCTTAAAATTAAAAATGTTGGAATAGAAAAGGTTGTTCCCCTGCAATTCTTCCTTGGCATCTGCTTCATTTGCAGGTATTTTCTAGTGTATTTTTTTTTACACTTGCCACCTTTTCACTCTTTTATCCTCCAGTTCTGCCTGTCCCCCCCCCCTTCATATGCCTAAGCATACCTCCTAGTAGAGGTGGGCATGTGATATGGACAGTGGTCCTCCAGTTTGATGGCCTTTTTTCTTCTCTTTTTACTTTTGTTCTTTCTCTATGCTGGCATGGAGGCATAAAACAAAACATTCATCAGACTTTCACAATCCCTATAGGGAAATACCTTTTTTTGGGGGGGGGGGGGAGATATACCACAATAGGAGAGGCAGTGTTATCCAAACACCATCCCTTAGACCACTCTACACAGTTTGTTGTGAAATAGCAATTTTAGGTTTTGTTTTATTTTTTCTTCTTCTTTTTTATGCCAGCATTGTGCATAACAAAACCCAAACATTTCAGTGGTATTTTGCAATTGCTACAGGATTTTTAAAAATTGTGTATTGCAAGATGATCTTTCAGGCTGAACCATGAGAAATTCACTGGAAGAAAAAAAGGAATACCCTGGGAGGCAGGAAATAGGTCTACAAACACATAATGTTCAACTCCCACCCAGCTCTGGGGGACAGGTGAAGGTGCAGGATGACTTTTCATACAAGAGATGTTTTAAAATTTTCATACAATACAAGTTTTCAAACCGCATCCATGAATTAACAGAAAATATTAGAGCTGGAAAAGGTCAGGTTTGGATATGTGGCAAGATGGGGGTGACATCATAGCAAAACACAACTTAGCTCTTGACAACAATATGTTTTCATTGCATATTTAAAGCCTCATTTGAAAAGGCTTTTGGATTCCAGGGAGATGAACACACAAGATCAGAATTAAAGCTGGATAATAATGTCTTTGGCTGTACTTAACCCATATCGTTTCTCTCTCATTGCTGCTTTGCATTTCAAGTGTTGCTATAATGCACCTTTTCATCAATGAGTTATTGCTGTTTTTCCATTAAGTCTTCAGGTGTGATAGGCCCCTTTTGCTGCAGTTGCAATGTGCTGGCAGTCATGTGGCATCGGTGGGCATG